ACTATAACTATATGTGAAGAAGGTCAATGAACTGTTTATTTATCTTTTTTCTTCCTCCCTCCAATTTTGACTCATGAAGTCTTCAAGTTTGTAGAATGCTTTTTCTTCTATCCAGGTCTTAATGAATTCTTTAAATGTATCTGTGTATAGTTTTTTTTAATTTATTTATTTTGTACAATGCACCCTAAGAGCCTCAGCTCCATTTTTAGGGTTGGTTTAATACATGGTACTGTTTTTAAGAAGTTGCATAAACTAACAAAAATTAAATATTTTATGGTAATAACAAATAAATGAATTTGAAGGATTAACAAGTATATGTGAAATATAATAATATCTTTGAAGACAAAATGTTTGATGTTTGATGTTAGTGTTGCCGGTTTCTTAAAAATGATATATTGCGTTTTGTCAATGTTTATAAATAGATTGTTGAGTTCCATCCATTCCATGAGGACATGCATATCTTGTTCATTTGGGCTATTAGTTCTTCTTCAGTGCTACCAAAACAGAATAAATTTGTATCATCAGCAAAGAGAGTTATTTCACCTTGAAAATTTAGCTCAGTTAGATCATTTATAAAAATAAACCGTAATTTCTAGAGGAATCTTGCTAATGTTCTGCACTTGTGTATAATATGAATATAGACTAATCCTTGAGGAACAGAATATTTCAGTTTTCTTCAGGTTGACCATGATTTATTTGTCCAATCTTTTTCAATGTCCACGTATTGATGCCTTTCCTTGAGGTATGATTTGGCCGTGCTTTTTATTTGTCCTATCGTTCCATATTTCTTGAGAATATTGCTTAATATATTGTGATGAACACAAGGCGGCCCTCCAATGAAACCTGGAACCCATCACCCATCATTTCAGATATTGCTTTTACTAATGCATCCCGAGTTTGCTAAATGCATATTGGTAGTAAAATGTAATATATTTACTGTGTACAAATTATGAACATGTGTGAGTGCTCCTGTACGGGTTCACTCATACATTGCTGAAGTCCAGTACTATTTACATTTTCTTCTCTGCCTGTGTAACTTGTTCCACAAGTTTACATACTGCATGTATTGTTGATTCATTTCCTTGATTCCCATTATGGATGGTGGAAAAAATATTTCTTTGACACATGTCTGTATGATAATAAATTGTTTGCAAGGAAAAATAATAAAGAGTACAGTATATTTATGTTCCTCTTTCAATAACAGTAGAATACAGAAGATCACATAATACTGTAAGATCTGTTAAAGACACAGTTAACAATTAATCATTAGTCATTTGTTACATTGTCATGTGATAAATATATACCATTTAGCATATGGATGAAATGCCATGGTCTTTAAACATTCAGTGCATCAGTCTGCAGGTGTGAAAGAAAGATTTGTTACTGACAACAGTACAACTGAATCATCACTCACTGAAAAATTATCCTGATATGAATCTGATAACAACAATTATGGTAGAATCTTGGCTGTGAATTAAGTTTCCAGAAAGATCTGAACTTTCATGGTCTAAGAGTGGAATGTAAAACTATGTTTTAAAAAGAAAACGCAAAGCATACTCCAAATTTCTAGGAAAAAGGACGTGTAGTTTCTAGTCTCAATAAACTCTGAAAGTAAACAAAAATTGTATCACATCTGATAATCTTCAAGCATCCAATGGAATTTCCTAGTTTCAGATGGTCTATCATACAATTATTCTTTTTAATCTCCTTGAATCATAGCTAGGAATTTCTCTAGATGTGATCGTCTCTAAATTAAAATGGACTGATCACATTCCTAATGTTTGTGCCTTTGATTAAGGAGGCGGAAACTTTTCATTTAAGAAACAAAACCACAAATTTTGAGCCTTTAGTCAAAAACATATTTAAGTTTTTAATGCATTTATTCAATCATTTCTATCTTGTGACTGTAATCTGGGGAGATGAAAACTTAAAACAATCACAGTTTAGATCTTTGCTGTGGTTACATATAAGATCTCAAGATTACAAAAAGGGCTCTAAGACATCAAGAAAGTTGATGCTTCTGTCTCCTTGCAGAGAGCTTCACTAAAAAATAAAATTTTGCCCATGTAATCATTGTACATCTACCATGCTAAAAACCATTTTGTAGCAGTAGCAGCTAAGAAATACATTTCAACTTCAACTTAGAGTTTTGTGAGAAACACAGCTACATAACTTCACTGTATCTGGGAATTGATATTTAGTACACATATCTAGATAAATATACACTTAAGGATGGCACAATAATATAAACTTATAAATTAATATATTACTATACATCACATGGTTCATCATATACTCACATGCCAAATTTTCATCAAATTTCAATGAGTCTACAAAATGATGTTGTCCAGCACATTGATTAGGAACCATATGTGATTTCTTACAAGTACTTTGATTGTGTCATGGAAAAAGACAGTTAAAATCAATAAGCAGGGAAAGCACACCAATACTTGATTATGCTGAAGTGCGTGACATCAAAACGGACTGAGTTGCCACAATCACTATCACAGTGGACAATCGCAGTTGGACTTAATCAATGTAAGCTGGCCATTAGCGAGAAAAATATGAAAATATATGTCAGGCACGTTAAAATACAAACATATCACAGCTAATAACTGACACATGCATATCACCTATAAATACGAAATTACATTCAGTGGTCAGATCACACAAAATTGTTTCATTTTTTTTCCAACACTTACAGAAGTGTAATTAGAAAGTTAAAATATAGAAAACTGTTTAAAAATGCCAGTTTCAGGAAAACAATTTAGATTATTGATTTCACACTTATTTTATGTCACACTGACGGACTGACTGCGGAAGACTGGGATTGGAAATGATACTAATAACTCGTATGCAGTTCCTCTAATACCAAATTTTCCAACTATGTTTTGAAGCTTCCCAAGACTAACACAATCAAATGCTTCTGATAGGTATAAGTTGCTGTCCTAGTAAAACTTCCTCACACATCACCTGTGTAAAATTGTGGAGCGCAGGATATCTTCAGAACAGTTTGTTTGAAAAAATTAGGATTTCGCACACACATTCCACAGACTGACACAGGGATTTGCTGAAATTCACAGCCGTTTGTTTATCTGAAATAGGTTAAGTTCTAATCTAAATAAAGTTTAATTGAACATGTCTGTTACTTTTAAACTAACAAATTGATTCAAAAGATCCTGTGTCAATCGATAGGAGCAATGTGTGTACAAAATCCTAATTTTTTAGGGCAAACTGTCTTCAAGATATCCTGCACTCCAAAATTTTACAGCATTTTAACACAATTATGCAACCTCTCTAGGAGGTGCTTTTCCTCACACATTACAATGTCTCATAGGTGGATTTAGACCACAAAGATACGAGGTATAAGATGGTAATGAGTCCAGATGTGTAGCACATGCCGTTTTTGTGAAGCAAAAATTCAAAAAAGACAGATTTGGCCCTTATTATACCAACTGACCACCTTAAAGAATCATTCTGACAAATAATTCAAAACACATTTAAAAAATCCCAATGATACAAACCAATACGTAAGCAAGCACTTTGTACCAATCCTTACACTAAGCAATGCCAAGCAGTTCAAATTAGCCTCTAGTACTGTCAGATAAACAATGAACTTTGTCCCTGAGTTCAACATGTCACAAATTTCTCAAGAATGTTCTCCTTCCAAGTATTAAGTTTTGATGACACTTACATAAAATACAAGAGTTCAAACCTTCCTCTTTCTTTCTGAAGCTTAACATAATGCCTCACTGAATAAGGTACTGTAATATTTTCATCTGGCCATTGCCATCTCCACTGATTAGGCAGGTGTTCCTTGGAAACAGGGATATCCACATTAGACCTAGAACAGAAACCGTATTAACTCACTGGAAAGCATATGAAAGAAGATATGATATGTAAGACAGCTTTTCTAACGGTCTGTTTCAGTTTTGATGGACGCTTGCCGACTTCAGAATGCTACACATGGATTTGGAAGACCACAGAAATACATGTACATGTGGTGACAGAGTGCATGAAATAAATGTAAGGACTCGTGCATTCTTTATTTAGGAATGATTCTACAGACAGAATTGTTAATTTAAAGTTTTGCTTTACAGATATTTGAGGAAGACGTAAAGAACATTATAAAATTTGAAAATGACATTCTAGAAAACATTGCAGCTGAAGAAAATCTGGTAACTAAATGAGAACATGTGCTTAAAATTAAATTTGATGACAAATATACAAACCTCATTTGCGACCACCGTGCCAATCAATCACTTCCGAACAGGAAACAGCTCGTCAATCTTCTGAAGGAGACATCCGGACTTCAAATGTGGGTTGTGAGCCAGACTCATTTATTTCCAGAGTCATTTTATCGTGTCTTTGAGGCTTTTCATTCAGAGCCTATGCACATTGATAAAAGCACCTTGACTCCTCTCCAACCGGGCAGTAGGTGTGATTGTGCTCCTTCTTTGTTGATGCGAGCAAGTAGCAGAGATTTAAATTACAGTCTACAATCACATGAGTTATTTGGCTATTACCACCCAGTTCGCTTTGTGCAAAGTACAGTTTCAACAAGTCAAGGTTTCATAATTAAACTTTCTTAATAAAATTTGTTTCTTCTCTTGCAAGACTAGTTTTAAATGTGAAGGACACCTCTAGAATGATCTAGTTACATCCAATAAACACATCCAATATACAAGATTCCTACAATTTACAATTGCAAAATGAGAAATGGGATTCCATTGCTGCACACTGAATCGAAAGTAATGTGGAAGATTCCAAACAGATATGAAATCATTCAAATGGCGTTTCACTTCTACTGACACTGGAAAATGTATCATAACAAATAAAGATAAACATCCAGGTAACTTGGATCAGTCAGATATTTAGATTGATGGCTACATTCACATGAGTTATTGGGAGTATTTTCACCCAGTTCTTATTGTGCAAAGTACAGTTTCAGCAACTCAAGGTTTATTAATTAATTTTTCACTACAAAATTTGTTTCTTCTCTTGTGAGACATAACGAAAAACACTAACTCATGATCTAAGAGTGGACCTCAATGCACAATCTCCTTGACTTATTCAACCGTATTCAACACATTAGTACAAATACAATACTGACACATTTGCAGTTGCTATTTCTTACATACATTGGTGCAAGCAGTAAAGAGTACCTTTGCATCACAGTTATTAAGACTATCACAGAAAGTAACAGCCTTTGTCTGACGTCTTTAGGGTAAAAATATGTTGTATGTAGAAGATAGCTGTTAACAAGTATAGAGGCTACAGGACACATAAGACATTGAAAAACACAACCTCAACCTAGTTCGCTCCACACCAGAAGGTAAACTTATCACAATTTCATCAGAACTCAGTTGTCACGAATTGTCTGGTTGAGACCTTCATCTACATACTGGGAAACTAAGCTTCACTGGTCGAATTATGTAAAAAGAAAAATCACAGTGAAAACCTGTGGGTGCTCCCACAATGTATTGTACTTAGCTGGCTTTCTGGACAGAAATCTCGGAGACAAAGTGGAATTATTGTTGGGGCTCAAGTTATTAAGAAAGGGGAATTGTCATACTATTTGATAGAGCCCAACTGACAACCAATAAAACAAATTTGATTGGCTGTGGTAGCCAATTTATGGTTTTAGCTTCAATAACTAAGTAAAACATAATTATTACTTCAAGAAAAATGTATTATTGGTGAGGAGGACGTAAAGCGAATTATTAAATTTGAAACCGACATTGAGGAAGATTTTGCAGCTAATGAATTTCTGGTAAGACCACATGCTTAAATATAACACCACAATAGACAAAAATCTGTATACACTATTGGGTCACAAACGCAAGCTTTTACAAGCCGCTCTACAAACCACTCACTATTTACAAGCAAACATCTCATCAATTTTCTGAAGTAAACAGTCAGAGTGCAGCTTGGGGTTGTGAGCCAACCTAACGTGCCTCTTCATTTCCTTCTTAGTGTTACTGGACTTGTAAAATTTCTTATTACATAATGACACAGGGCAACCATACATTCCTGCATCGTCTGGCTCACAGGACAATGAGCCTGTGTCAGTTCCGCTTGTAGAACTAGTTGATTTGTCCTGCAAATGAAACAACTCAATCAGGATAAGTGATAAAAACATGAGCGAAATGGAAATGTACCATATTATCACTTACAATGTATGCGCTCTCACAGATTTCATTGCAAGACAGCTTCAATTCATTGACTATACTTTGGTTGAACACAGGTTTCCCACTACTTTGGATTTCATGAAGGTCAGGCCTACAGGCAGCCACCAGATGTTTAAAGTTAATGTGCAGAGGGCTAAAATGAACAATCACAAGTTAACTGTATGCTAGTTGGAGGGTGAATAAATATCTTACTAATATGCTACTGACCTTCTGTTGGAGCATAAGCATCGTTTTGAATTCATTAAATATGGAATGGCACCAACAGTCATAAAATTTACTGCTTCTGATATGCAAGGTCCAGTGGAGAAACCAAAATGAGGTGTGTTTGGCCGTATAATCAACATATCCCCAGGTTTCTGTACGACCTGGCGAATGATACAATAATCATGTACTTACTAGTGCAACTAAAATAATACATGATACTCTATTGTAGGTACTAAACACTTACAATTTTGAAAGGTATGTTTTTACTCTTCAACCATGGAACACTGGGAATATGACGCTTGTGCCCAAGTACATTCATACAAGAAGCATCCAAAATATGGGACCCTCTTCGTAGATGAAACTCAAGCAATGATGTAGATGTTGGCGGCACAATCACCCTGTGCATTACAGGGAAACATGACTGCTGTGGCATGTAGAAAATAAGAGAGCAGTGCAGAGCATACATGCAGAAGAGGTCTTACCAAACTTTAGCATGGCCAAGGAAATGATAATTAGCACTATAAAATAAACCATCCTCATAATGGCAACCGAAGGAGCTGTGAGTTGATGCATAGTAGCGAAAGCTAGTTTGAATGCCAGGATAGTGATGATCAAGAGCCCATAGCAAATTAAAAATCCTGCTCAGGCGCAGATTTTCTGTCACGCTGATGCGACTGCTTGGAGCCTGCTCTCCAAAACCGTACATCACACAATGGTCATTAACTCCCTGTTTAGGCCCCGTGCACTCTACATCCTGACATTTTCTTTGAGCGCCTGTCATGCTCGCTTCCCACTTAAAGTTTGAAGTATCACTTTTGAAACCATTGATGACAGCCTGCACAGCTCTTACTCTTTTTCTGAAATCAACTTTACTGGCAATATGTTTGATACCTCCAACTCTCAGGATATCTGTTTCCCAATGTTGAAACAGCTTCTCCAAACCATCATCCTCGGTTAAAAATTTAGAGCTGAAACCAAATAAAATGTAAATGTTACAATATGAACAGGAATATGCGAAGGTTTACACAAGTTTATACTAAATATAATAGATGTACCAGCAGGTTTCATTTTTGTATGAGGCGTAAGTACGTATGCATTCCTTGGCCTTCTCTACCTCTCCAGATAAATCCTGACTAATCCTGTAACACATACAATTCGAGTCAGCGATGAACAAAACGTCCGGCAAGAGACTACGACTTTTTGAAAAAGTACAGCTAACCTCTGTGTGTGCAACTCGTACAGTCCTTCCTCTGGCGCCCTGAGAAACTTTTGCATGTCAAACCTGTCCAAATCTCCTGATAAGCACAAGAAGCGTAGAAATTCTTCCTCAGTTTCTGGTTTAACGCTGCGGATCGTCATATCAAATGTTGCCTGGAACAAAACAGACAAGCTGTACCAAACAAAGTAAAAGAAGGAAAATAAACGAATCCTTTAAATTGGGGACATGCCACAAAAAAACCGTCTTGGAGACCCTTTCCATTTTCCTCCAAAGATTCTATCCATGGAATAAAATCCTCTGACCACTTTGCATCAATATGGACATAAACACGGTCATAAGTTCCGGCCATTTTTCCTACAGCTCCAGCTCCAGCTCCTCTTGGCTCCTGCGCAGATGCAGTAGGGGAGGGGGAGGGGAGGGGAAGGTGGGTCCTGGTTTGAGGCCATGGTATGAGAAATCCTGCTTGTTAAAATACCTCTCACCTTGAATCAATGGTTTACCATTTTTTAATTCGATGATATCTTCGCGGCAAGTGACAGCAAAAGTAATGCGCCGACGATTATCGGACACTGAAGACCAAACTGACAAAGTGGCGTGTGGGGCGTGGGGGGAAGAAGAAAGAAACGAATCAAAAAGTACAGGAAACAGTACCAAGAAACAGTGTGGATCATTCATGTACACCCTCTATGGTACACCAACAAGTCCAGAATAATTTTCTCGGTCAAGAAAAGTAGAAAAAGTGAACTATTTTATCTGTTTATCAATACTGTTTCCGGTGCTTTTAGATTCTTTTCTTTCTTCTTCCACAGTCGGTGGAATGGTCTATTTCTCATACCACTGGCCTCGCGCGCGCTAGCAGCTAGCAGTAGCAGCAGCAGCCCCTGTGTTCGGTACAACTCTTGCAGTTTCTCCCACCACACAAGTAGCAATACAATATAGCTATGGTAAACAGTGGTATTTTAATAAGCAAAATATGTCTGCAGGTATTGCTTAAGTGTTTGTTATCTAATCATTCTAGGGTCGTGGAGCTAAACATGGAGTGCAGCCAAGAAAAAGTACCAGGCCGCCGGTGCCGCTGGCTGAGACTGCGAAAGAATGCAAGAAAACTTCATCAGGATTTGAGATGTCTGTAAATCAGCTATCAGAACTATGGAAATATGACATGACTCTTGCGCATCAACTTATGGGTTTACCGTTGAGGGATTGTTCAGCAATCCTACAAGAGGAAGAAAACATGCCCGCTATGGATATTAACAGCTTCACCCGATTAAAAACAAGCATCAAACGTATGTGGTTTGAAGCCGAAGAAATATTTACAGCCCGCAAAACATTTGATTGTGGATGGGGTTTGTTTGTTAGAGAGGACCATGACGCTAGCAAGTGAGTGTTACTGTGTGAGCCAGTCATGTTCCCAGTTGATATTCTCTTTGTAAGCAAATAACTGAGATGACTGGTGACATCACTTGTATTACTGAGACTGTTCAGATAGGGTAATATGACGAAAATAATTGTAACCATTCTAATCCACAGGAGGGTACTTACTCCCACCTCAGCACTGCGTATGGGATGGATAGCAAGATTCCCAGGACCAGAAAATCCTACTCATCACAGGTACCTACGCTCTCCGTGCCAGCATCATGGCAATGATTTTCTGTACCTTGGAGGACCACTCTCACTCTGCAACTATGACCCACATCCAAATCTGAAGGTGGACTTTAGTATCTCTTCCAAGGAGGAAAGAGCAAACTTTGTATTTGTGCAAAAGACAGAAAAGTTGGAGCCAGGTGATGAAGTTTTCTGGACATATAACATCAGCAAACAGGAAATGGAGGACGGGTCAAAAGATTTTTATCAAGAAAGCGAATGGAAACTGGTACTAAACATAATCTCATCATTTTTTCTTTGGTAGTTATTATTGGACATCTAGAATTATTTTTGTCTGTCATTCCAGTCGTGCTGCTCCGAGACTGACTTGGACCTTGTAAGCAATCAACCGCCCAAGCGAGTATGCAAGCGTAGCTCTCAGCCACACAAGGATTCAGTGAAATTGAAAGGCTACAGGTAAGAGTTGACTATTTAAAAACATTGTGAAGCTTACATCTACAAACTGTGTAAGCTAACCCTGCTCTATCCACTCTTAATCTAAACGTAAATGGAATTAAAATCAATCAAGTTAAGTCTACCAAATTCCTAGGATACCAGATATCATTTTATCTAGCTGTTCAGAACATATAAAATCTGTACGAAATAATGTTAAATGAGATATTTGTGCAAGAAGGGAAATTCTCTCATTTTACAGTAAGCACTGTTCATAACTATCAGACCAGAAATAGATAATTTTTTTAAGCAACTACAACTACAATTCTGTAAGAAACCAATGTGCTAACATTTATAACAGACTACCATCTGAAATTCTTGAGTCAACATTTCTCAATATATTCCAGAGTAGACTTGAAAAAAATTATTAATGAGAAGGAGTATTAGTGTATGGCAGACTTCACAGGTTGATTATATTTATATTGAATTAAATTTGATGTTGAACATCTCCTTTTTCTATGTATTAATATTATGACAATGACTTCTGTATGTTTACAAAAAGTCGAAAAACTAAACTAAACTCTTGTCAGGTTCTGCACATACTGTGGATTGAATGCTGCTGATTTAAAACTGAATATGAAATGTCACATAGCACTAAAGCATCCATCAGAACTTTGTGCTGAAATGAGTGGAGAAGAGAATTACGTACCAGGTGAAACCCCCATATCATCTAAAGCATTTCTCCAGCACCTTGATGCAGTTTCAAATGCTTACAATACATTGCACAATTTGGGTTACAAGGTTCTTCCTGCCTGCCATATCTTTGAACATACGTAAGTATAAAGTAACAATTACGTATAAGAAACCTACCCAAATATCTAGTGATTAATGCATGACTTTTTTTTCAGGGGTTATTATTGCCTGTCACCAGAATCATCAGAGGAGCAAAGGGAAGGTTTACTCTCTGCACTTGATGCTGAGGCAAAGAGAGCGTTCAGCAAATATCAGATTATTTATGCAAGAGGCATATCAAAGCCAACTAAATATGAACACTTTCTGAAACCACCTAATAGTGGTTATGGTTCTGTGCATTGGATTGGTGACCGCCCTTCCAGTACCAATTTTTCATTGAGCAACCACCCCATGTCTCAAGAGGAGAGTGAAGCACACTTAGCATCGGTTAAAAAATGTATCCATAATCTCGGTACCATGTGGATGATTCTTTCTCCTACGTCTGACCATCATTAGTTAGTTGTGTTAAATGTGATACAAACTACCGAAGTTAATGAAAGGTTTGTAGGCCATGTCTAATGCAATTGGTTGTGTTGGATTGCCCTACTCAATAAACAATTGTGGCACCTACATATCTTCAAATAGTTTTCTGTTCGCAATGGTAGAAAATATTTTACATGCCATTAAAATGACAACCTGAATACTATCAAATTTGGTGCTCGTAATGATGTGATAAAAACATACTTTGTTGCAAATCCATTCATCATAACTTAGAGATGTAGATGTAACTATTAAAGGAAAAAAAGGCACGACAAAATGTCATTACAATAGTCAATTATTACTGCTTTCTCTGAAACCTTTCAAATCATTTCCCTCAGCTAGTGAACTTGTAAGTGTACTTCGTGGACTATGTGAAATACTGCATGAAGACTCATTAATCTCTGTAGACAAGATCTTCATCATATATTCATCTCATCTCCAATTCATTTTCCAAGAAATGTTTGCACAAAAGTGATCCGACTCCGAAGTAAATCCAAACAAACAAAATGTTGCTAGTTAAATGCTCTCTACATCTTCTTCAAATTTCCGGCTTGTAATAATTAAATTCGGCAAAATTCTCATGCATTTATTATCTGTCTATATTACTACATTGATCATGCGGCTTTGGTATACTTGCAAACGTCCAATTTTCTGTAACACTTGCATATATTGGTCGTATAAAATTGTCCACTTGCCATGTATTGTATGAATTCTTGTATTTATGCTTCAATACATATCTATGCGCTATGTCCTAACGGATGGTATTGTGGTGGCAGTTCTACCTCTGTAATAAAAAAACAAACATACTCAAGCAACTCTACCAATGATCGTTGGAACCTGGAATAATCTTACATGGGGCGATACAGGATAGATTTATCTCTCTTTTTTAGACCTCGACTGCATTTTTTTCCTGTTGTGTCTTTTAAAGTACTCGTTGAGACGACTCCAAAACATTTCTTTCGGGCGCTCTAGCTCAAACAGTTCCAAAGATATAACCGATTGAAGATTTTCGTACACTTTTTTCGGGGTTTGGGGCAAATGTTCGGTTTTTATTTTTTTTGCAGCGTTCCCAGGGCTGTTGCGAACTGGGCTCTTAGGGGATAGTTTGATGCGGGGAACTCAAATCTGTACTTAGATTTTACCTAGGCCCGCTCCTTCTGTCCGTTCTAAAGGGAAAACCGAAATTTTTGAGCTGAATTTTTCGCATTTTGCATAGCTAAACGACAATGTTCCGAGAATTTTTCTCTACTTTTGGGACGATCGCCGGATAGCTCTCAACTAGTATTTTCGATTTTTGCAAGGGCAATCCTTACAGTTTAGGAGCTACAGCAGGATGAAATCTAGAAAAAACTAAGAAAAATAACTAAAATGACCGATTTTTGATGTTTTGATGATATATTGGCGGGGTGATGTGCAACCGATACAGGGGTGGCCGAGTGGTTTCTGGACCAAAATTTCATGCTCTTTCCGAATCTGCAATTAAAAAAAGTAGGCATTAACTTTGTTTCTCTGCAAGGCGCGAATCTTCACAGACATGTTTTTCAGTTAGCGCCCTAAAACTGCTTCTCCCGTCAAACTGGTATCGAGTGGCCGAGCCGACCCAAATTTGGTACCGACGGGTTTTTCGGTGCGCTGAGCACGAATCAGATGGTGCCGAGGATGCCCGGACGTTCCGGGGTACGTCATCGGGGAGCTCCATCCAAAGCTTGGGGTATGGAGCCCGATGTAGGCAACCCGTTGCACTCCCAGCAGGCGGCAGCGTGGGTAGGCAACCCAAACTACTGTCAGTGTTGAGTTGCGCACTCAAAGTCGACCTCTGCGAGGAGGGCGCGCGGGGCGCCCCGCGGCCAGGAGGACGGCGACGTCGCTGAACTGTCATCACGGACATTGGGGCGGCGACGCCGGCCACTGCGCCTTGCGCCTTGCGCCGCGCCGCTGACCTTGACGCGGGACCCCGCCCCCCTACCGCCGTCCAGCTGCTGATCATCGCGCACCCTCGTTTTGGAGATGCCTCCCTTCGTGGGAGCCCGGGAGCCCGGGAGCCCGCAGCCTCGCGCGCGCGCGCTGGCGGATTCTCATCAGGTAGTTACCGCCAAGAAGGTAGGCAACCCACCGCACCCACAACGCCGGGCTGGGTAGGCAGCCCAATCTATATGAAGCCAGGGGCGTGAGGTTTGCGCATGCGCGGGTAAGGGATGTGGTCGGGCGTGCTCCAGCTGCGGAAAAGACCGAGGAAAAGATCTGGGAATGGTCATTCGCACACCTGCAAGTACGCGAATAGTCATTCACTCACCTACAAGTGTACGAATGGTCATTCGCTCACCCACAAGTGTGCGACAGACATTCGCACACCTGCAGGTGTACGACATTCGTACACTTGGATTTCCAGTGTATAATAAGGGCCACCTTTGTGGGGTGTAGTGTCCTGGTCCTACCTTTCTCAGATCTTGAAGCGTGCGTGACTTTTATTCAGCCTCAAATCTTCTCTAGATGCACTGCCAAGAGTTCTGCTGTGAACGTTCGATTGCCGTGCCGAGCCGAACCGACCGCTCTGACTCCCAGACAAATACTTTGGCTTGGCCGGGGGCCGGGCCTTTTGGCTCTACTCGGCGAGCGCCACACTCCTCGCGCTACCCAGAGCCACGTTCGAGTGTTCAGTACAACTGCGGATGTGTTCCGGAACACAGGATCGCCACCCGGCACGACTTCTCCTGTGGGGCAGCTTGCGGGGCAGCTGTGCACTGTAAAAGTTGACCGGACAATTTTTACGGACAATATAACGGAGGGTACAGGTTTTGGCCACAGTGGCCAAGGTACAGTCATTGACCCTAAATACGGACGATTTTTAGAGAAAAAGGCCTGTAAAATCTGTAGTTTTGCCAAAATTGAAAATCGGTGGGGATTATAAAATCTTCGGACCGAGACACACCTACCAACACCTTGAACGGTTTTTTATCACCTAGGAGGTACCCGTGAGCCGCGCTAGAAGAGTGTCCGTATTTAGGAGCCTAAGCGCCCTAAATACGGACAGCCTTTAAAAATTTTGAAAAGTGAAAAATTGTTGGGGGGAATAGAAACTTCATGTAAAAATTTGACCTTACCCTGCCGGTGAAATTTTCTTATCTGGCATAGTTTAGCCGCCAGAATTGCTTAAAGATCGTTTTTAAAGTCGGTTAAAGTGCCCTAAATACGGACAGCAGTCACTTTTGCATGTAAAAACCGCTGTCCGTATTTAGGAGACTTTCGGAAATCGCTTCTCAAACTTGAGACAAGTGACATAGGCCAAATTTTCTTGTGTCATCTTGTAGGTGAAGAGTCCTAGTTTCACATACGTCAACCTGAAAGATGTGCGATCACCCGCCGTTGAGAGCCCCACATTCTTGCAAAGCAGTATAAAAATTGTCCGTTTTCGTGGCGCCCCCAAACGCAAGTTTGGCATTATTTGGAGAGAACAGTATGCAAGATATCGGAAATATTTCTTCAAATCTAGATTCTAGAAGGCCTAACCTTTCCAGTGAACCCTCAGCATCTGTATTCCGGCTACCCGTTTTCGATTTAGGGGCTTTACTAGTAGAAAATAGCAAAGTGTCCGTATTTTGGACGCTAGTCCGTAATTAGGGCACTTGACTGTACAAATCATTGGCCCCTATTCGTGGCCGTTTTGCATGGCATGGGGCTCGGTCCCTTATCATCGCCTTCTCCCACTGCCCCTCGTAAAGCTGAGACAGCAGCAGAGCGCCGAGGACCTGCGACATGCAGA